AGCAAATCGAATTGTGTGGTCTGCTAGGCCAGGAACTGGTGGGGATTTAGCTCAAATTGGTAGAGCGCTCGCTTCGCATGTGAGAGGCACGGGGATCGATACCCCGAATCTCCACTCCGCTTTTTTGCTTCCTTTTATTTCTTCTATTTTTTGCTACATTTCAAAGCTTACGTTTTGCACGCTGATGTAGCACAGGGCGCCATTGGCGTCCTTGATGGTGCCGCGCAGAAACCCAATTGACTTTGTCACGCGCAGGCACTCTATTTCGATGGAGACTGTGGCGCCGTGTGGCACGGCAGAAAGGTAGTTTGTAGTCAGGTCGGTTGAGACTATGCTGTGTGCTCCAGCAGCAACGGCGGCCGTGGCTATTTTGCCGGCGGCGTTGCAGAGCGTGAAGACGCAGCCGCCGTGGATGGTGCCCCAGGCATTGCAGTCGGCAGGCTCGACCGTAAAGGAGAACGCGGCAGTGGCGCTAGTAACACGGTCGCCCTTGCTGGATGTGGGCGTGACAGAGACGAGGCGCAGGCGCGAGACTGGCGGCGTGGTGAGGCGGACGTTGGCGGCGAGCATGGCCTGGTGGTAGGCATGAGCGCGCTGGACCAGCAAATCCTCGGGCGAGACCAGCGACATTGGAGGCAGAAAAAATATAATGCGAATTCAAAAGCGGTAAAAAGAGGAGCCGATAAACCTAGCAAGGCAGGCAAGCACATGCGCGGAATCAAAATCACATTCTTGGCTGCGTGGCGGCAAGCCCGTCCTTGAAGAACTTTGTGTGGCTGCCCACAGCATAGACAAGGGTGCGATCGTCCTTGCTGCGAAAGACAGCGGTGGCGTGTGGCTGCCTTGTGTGGGGGCAGGAGAGCTTGCAGAGTATCTCGATTGTGGTCCCCGGACTGATGGGACCGAGCCCCTGAACGCTGATGGACGTTGACACGCTCTTTGCTGCCGGCTGAATCGAGCCGATCAGCATGGCAGTGGTGTTGTCGGTGACCGTGGCCACCCAGCCCTCGTCGAGGCAGCCGGTTTCGGGCGAAATGCAGTCGTCGCCGACTTCCCACTCGGCGATAAACTCGCTGCTTGCCACGCTGGCCCAAGTGACCCGCGGCTGGACGTCCATGCCGAAGTGCAAGTAGGAGCCGATGCGCGCATAGACCTGGTTGATGAGCTTGACATACAAGGCATCAGCGTCATCCATGTTGAGGGGGAAGTAAAATTGGTATTGCAAGAGTGCTCAAAGAAGGAAAGGGCGGGTGGGCGGGGCGGGGCGGGGCTCGGGCAAGTCCCTCTTTCGCAGCCTGCCTGTGACAGCGGGGCCTGGCTCCCAAGCACGTCTCTGGCGTGCTTTGTATGGCTGGCAACAGCGCACGCACTGCGCTCTTGCGAGCCTTGGAGTACTGCCGTTGCATGGGGCTTGGCCAGGTCAGCATTGGCTATGCGACACACAGCGTCGATAGGCGTGCCAGGGCGGGTGGGCGCTAGGGGCCGAGCGCTCAGACACACGGATGCCGAGGTGGGCATGGGCCTGGGATGCGAGGCTAGCGAGGGAGCTGTCAGCAGAAGCGTCGTGTAGCTGTCGGCGGGCGTGGCAACCAAGCCCTCAGCCAGCGTGCCTCCAGGGCCAATGTGGTGCTCCTCAGCAAGCAGCCTCGCAAGTATCAAGTGGCCACGCTCAGCGTCGGCTTCGTGGATAGCTGTGCCATCGTCAGCGCCAAGCGCCTGGTGCTGAGGAGCCAGCCCAAGCGCCACGAATAAGAGGCTAAGTGTAGTCGATAGGTTTATTTTAAAACGGGAGGCCAAAACGAGATGCTTGCAGTCTTTTCTCTCACATGTCGGCGAGCGACTTTCACGCGCGAGGCTTAAAGAACTTTGTGTGCGTTGCTACTGCGTACACGTCACTGCCATCTCCAGCCGCAGCAAACACCGCTGTGGCATAAGGCTGCCTGGCGGCGGTAGCCGTGCACGTCATATGGAGCACGGTGCCCGGAGCAATAGGCTTGAGTGCCTGCACTGTCAGCGATGTCGTCAGTGCCGACCGGCCCTGGCTGAGCGCAGTGATCAGAGCCGACGTCCAGTAGTCGGCCACCGTGCCCACAAGCCCCTCGTCCAAGCACCCGGCATCCGATATCTCAGACCCTGCCGCAGTGAGCTCCACCACGCACGAGCGCCCAGCAAAGTCAGCGCCGACAACTGCTGCTACCAAGCCGCCGCTGTAGTAGTAGTGGCTCTCCTTGCTCTGCGCTGTGCTGGCTACCAGCAGCCTGAATTCCTCGGCATCCATTACCAATAACACAAAATGCTGCACAAACAGTGAGACTATCACTCGATCCGTTGCTTGCTTACCAAAAGCACACACAATGGATAGAATCCTTAACATTAAGG